CCCCAAAACCCCAAAACCCCAAAACCCCATTGTATGAATTATATTATAGAATTTAAAATTAGTTGTTAAATTAGAAATATAAAAATGCAATTCACAAAAACTTAGACATTTGAAAAAATTCTATCAGATTCATTAAGTTTATAAGAAAGAATTTTAGAGTAATTCACAGAGATACCTTTGTTATCAAATAGCACTAAGGTAAGTATAGAATTGCTTTTTAATTTTAATGAATCTGTAATCTTATACCCTTTCGTAGACTTACAAGGAGGTAAGCGAGACTGTGATTGGTCAGCTTAGGATTGTATACGATACTTATCTTCTTACAAATGCTAACTCTTCAATGAATAATGGCCTTAATGTTGATAATAAGTTTGATAAGGAAATTGAATTCAATTAGGCTCATTAATTTATTGATCCTCATAACTTATAAAACACAATGGAGATAAGTTCAGTTCTCTCCTAATCTCAGCAACAAAATAACATATTCTAAAAAGAGTCTGCAAGAGAAACTTATAACTCATAATAGCAGAAAAGCTAATCATAACCCCAGCAAAATAATCTTAATATCTCTTATCAAACTAATCAAAATCAGTTCAATCAGTAATTAACTGGAAATATGAACTTATTCTTATAAACTTAGGAGCTTTAAGCAGAGAACGACTATCTGAAAAAGCAGATATAAGTTCTGAAGTCATCCATAGACGATAGGATTTAAGAATAGAAGCAAATGATGGAAGATACATAGACAAAGGACTAAGAGTTAAGGGAACTTATTGATATGGTTAGAAACTATGAAGATCAAATTAGAGAACTTCAAGCCAAATTAGAAGAGTAAATATACCTTCACGAATAAAGAGAAGAAATCAAGATGATCAAATAATAATCTGAGATTTAAGCTCATTAGGAAATATAGCAGGTAAAGTTACTTTTCCAAGAGTTTATTCTAGTTAAAGATGAAATTGAAAAGTAGATGGAGGACTTAGTGAAAAGGATTCTAGATAAAGATGATACTGAAGCGAGAGATTAACAGCTGTTTAAGTCTTAAACAGCTATGAACAAATTTAAGGAGGGATTCTCGAATAGGAAAATATAGGATATAATGCGCTGTGAAATTGCGGAAGTAAAAGAAATGCTAGAAGTACTAAGAGATTTATCTTCACTAATAATGCAAATGATATCTGAGAAAAGGCAATTGAAAGTTTAGTTGTAGGCTGAGTTAGAATTAAGAAATCAAATAGAAAAAGCTTTGGATAATTAAGAACTAGAGTGCTTATCTCCTGATTTACTCATAATGAAGATAAAAACACTAGAACATGTACTTAATGGGATTTAATCTATTTTCAATCAGTCTGATAATAACAATTAATCATTAAATGGAGCAAGCTAAGGTTAGAATCAGAATTAATCAAGTTAATATCTCATTTATCAGCAGTTGAGATTATTCAGCACAGAATAATTAGATGAGAAAGCAAGACTTATGGATAAAATAAGACTAATTGAGTAGCTGAGTACTTAGTAAAATGAGGACATCTAAGGCCTTATTACAAGAGTTGAGGAATGTGAAAGGGAAAATACAGAACTTAGAATCAGAGGTGATTAGAAAATAGAGGATGAGAAAAAGAAGTTGCTCCAAGAAGTTGAGGAGTTAAAGAAAAATGAGTAATAATTGGAGGAGGCATTGTCTTCAAGGTTTGAAGAGGAGATTATAAGGATATAAATTGAGTAGCAAAGGGATCTTGAGAGCTAATTTGTAGCAAAAATAGTGGAGATTCTTAAAATCTCTCATCAAGAGTAAGGTAATAACATAAGTGACTATGAGGAAGCTGTAAAATATTTTGAATTAAAAGTTAAAACAATGATTGATAAGATTGAAATACTCACAGAGAATAAAGACCTACTAATGAAAGAAAGAATGATTTTCGAAGAGAGAATGCAAGAATTTTCTTATGAGAGTTAAGTGGCAAACAAAAAGATTGAATAACTCAATCAGCAACTTCTATAAGTGAATAATCAATATCAAAGTGAATTATAATAAATGAGGGAAGAAAAAGAGCAGGTAAATTAGAATGCAAATATGCTATTAGCTAAATTCAGATAAACAGCAAGTGAATTGCATGAAGTAAGAGAAGAAAAAGAAAAACTAAGAAAAGATGTAGGTAAACTATAAGAGCTAATAGATCAGTATGATAGAAGACTTTCTAATCATAAAAATTCAAGTCTTTAAAACAGTGCGATTAGTAGCATCAATTAGCCATCAATCTCGTATCAAAGTAGACCTCCTTTAAGCTTGGGTAAGTAGGACTATTCAGGGTCGCCATATAATGCTGAGGGTACCAAGTCATTACCTAGCTCAACTCAGAATAGAAAGCCAATATAAATATATAATTCATCATTGATTGGAAGCTTAGGCTAAAATGGTTAAAATTCGCATCCGTCTAGAGAAAGAAATGAGAGCTTATCTCATTAAATAGGCAATGCCTTATCAAATAACGTGAATGTAACAAATCAACAACTTAGATCCTCATTGGATGAGAAATAACTCTCAAATCTAATTAAGGATTACAAATCTGAAAACTTGAAGTTCTCTCAAAAGGTCCAAGAACTATAAAAGAAAATATAGAGCACAGCATAGTTGTCTCCATTTAAATAGAATCAATTAAACAGTGCGAGTAGTGCTTAGACAATAAGGCCTAACTCATCAAAGCCAATTCAAAGGAATGGAAATTTCAATCAAAATTAAAACTAAAACCCAAAGTTAAACCTAAATAAACAATACTTCTAAACATTATAAACGGACGAAACTTATTCAGCAATAAAGAATTAAGATAATAATTAATAAAACAGTGGAAGGCCAAGCAGTAGTAATCCGAACTATCGAACTCTTACTTGTAGTGTGAAGAAGAACTAAAAATGAAGATAATTACTAAATATCATAAATATTTCAGGCTTGTCTGGCTATTTTATAAATTAACTAAGTCAGAATATAATTTGAAATAATTTCTCCCTATCTCTAAGAAAATATAAGTATGGGGTTTTGGGGTTTTGGGGTTTTGGGGTTTTGGGG